CAGGTGGAATAGCCAATGCAAAAGTCCTGTTTGTTCACTTTCCCAGTCCAGTCTTCCTTCCTCAGAAGTAACAGATACTGTGAATTTGATGTATATCTTTCTAGTCTTTGTTTTTACACTTTTGTTATATATGTATGTGTCCATAAATAATATTTATTGTCTGTTCTTGATTTATGTAAATAATGTGATACCATACTTGCTGTCTTTCATTCATATTATGTAAGTCTAGTTCATTCATTTTGATAGCTATTTAGCATTCTTTAAAAGTGCCACAACTTATTTTTTTATTACAAGTACTGTTGCACTATCTTCATATACTGTTCCTTATGCATCAGTGGGAGAACTTTCGGGTTTATATCTAGAAGTGAAATAGCTGAGCTACTTTATGCATTTTCAGCTTTATTAAGTATTGCCACATTGTTATTCGATTGCTCACATCAACAGTTGTTAAAAGTACTATTTCTTCATGTCCTCATCAACCTTGCTTGGTATTATTAGTATTTTTGCCAATGTGATGGAGTGAATTATTATTTTTATATTAATTTCTCAGATTGCTAGTGAGATTGAGAGCTCCTTTTCAAATGTTTACTGATCATTCAGTTTTCCTACTCTGTAAATTGCCTGCTCATTTCTTTGTCCATTTATTTATTAAATGGATTTTTTTAAGACTTTATTTTTTTAGAGCAGTTTTAGGTTCATAGCAAAATTGCTATGAAGGTACAGAGATTTCCCATATGTCCCCTACCCCCACACATACATAGCCTTCCTTGTTATCAGCATTCACCACCAAAGTCATACATTTGCTATAATCGATGAACCTATATTGACAACATCATTATCATCCAGAGTTCATAGTTTACATTAGAGTTCACTCTTGGAGTCGTATAGTCATGAGTTTGGACAAATGTATAATGACATGTATCGATCATTATAGTATCATAGAGCATTTTCACTGCCCTAAAAATTCTCTGTGCTCCACCTATTCATCTGCCCCACTCCACCTTGCCCTTGTCCCACACCCCTGGCAACCACTGATCTTACTATCTTCAAACTTTTACCTTTTCAAGAATGTTGTATAGTAGGAATCATATAATATATAGTCTTTTCAGGCTGGCTTGTTTCACTTTAGTAATATGCATATAAAGTATCTCCATGTCTTTTTGTGGTTTGATGGCTCATTTCTTTTTACTGCTGCATAATAGTCTATTGTCATAAAGTCCATTGTCTAGATATGCCACTGTTTATCCATTCACCTACTGAAGGACATTAGTTGCTTCCAAGTTTTGGCAATAATGAATAGAGCCTCTATAAACTTTTGTGTGGATATGTTTCTTACTCCTTTGGTTAAATACCAAGGAGCATGATTGCTGGATCCTATGGTAGGAATGTTTAGTTTTGTGAGGCACTGCCAGACTGTCTTCCAAAGTGACTAGACCATTTTGCATTCCCACCAGCAGTGAGTGGAAGTTCCTCTTGCTCCACATCCTTGTCAGCATTTGGTTTCGTCGATGTTCAGGATGTGGGCCATTCTAATAGGTGTATAGTGGTATCGCGTTGTTTTAAATTGCATTTCCCTGATGACATATGATATGGACCATCTTTTATTATGTTTATTTGCCATTGTTTATCTTTGGTGAAGTGTCTAGTAAGGTGTTTGGCCCATTTTTTCATTGGCCTCTTTGTTTTCCTGTTGTTAAATTTTAAGAGTCCTTTATAATTTTGGATAACAGCCTTTTATCAGATGTTATTGGCTCATTTTTTCTATTGATTGATACTGTTTTTTATTTAGAGCGATCTTTCTAAATGCCTTCTGAGAAACTAAGGCAATTGCAATGTATTTTGTTGTCATCAACTGCTAAGTGGTAGAATTTACTACTGATTTTTTAAAACTTAAGTTTTCTTAATAAAGTCTTAAAACTTATTACGTAAACTCTCATTTCTGTTAATTATTTATTATGACATCCTTCATTGCCTGCTGCCATCCTAGCACAAGATAGAAAGGTGCAAAAGATAAATTAAAATTTTAATCAGAAATTGTTTACCTTGTTAAGTTTTAATAAAATGTTTCATTAGGGAAAACAACATATGGTTACAGTAAGGTGTGTACCTGTGCATATTTTAATAAACCATGCAATTTAATTTCCCATACTGTTCCTGTATTTCCATTTCTTCTAACAGTATTATGGAGTATATAAAGCGGGGCTGGAGCACTTACTTTTGAGATGGTCATTATCAGATAATAAATATCAAGCCACATTATTATGCTGTTGACTCTTTCCTGTCAAATATAGCAAGAAGAAAAAATAGTGCTCTTTGGTACATGATGGCATAAATCTGATTTTTCTAAAAATAGAAGGTTTATATATTTAAATGTAACAGCCTTTGGTAAATTTTATTTTACTGTCTTTCAGATTAACAAATAGAAATATTATACACAAACCTGCAGAATGGACCTTAATTGCTGTGGTGTTGCTGTCATTGTAAGTACTCTTTCAGATTTTAACTCTAAGAACTAAATGTGAAGACTTTTGATTAGAGAAAAACAAAGTTGTTCATTGATTTTGTAAATATCCTTGGAAAATGTTGTACCTAGTTTTTGTGCCTTATTTTCCTTTCCTGTATGATAAAATAACCTTTTCATATAAAGTGATATGCTATCTTTTGATAAGCTGTAATTGTTCTCTTTATATTTTTTTACTATCTTTTCTTCTTAGGGCCTTTTCCTTCACAAAAAGTACTTTTTTTTTTTTGAAAGAATAACATCCCTGTGTAGAATATCAACAGAATAGTTCTTTAATTTCACTTTTAATAGTGAATTTTATTAACATCAAATGGGCCTCATTATTTTAAATCTGTGTTTTTACCAACATATCTAGTGCTATTTCAGTTTTCTTTAACATTTTATCATTAATAGCATCAGAAAAGTTTTATCTTCCAAATTAATGTATATCTTTAAAAATCAAGCAGATTTAAAGGAACTGAAGTAGATGATTACTACACAAGCATATATAAAACATTTAATACACGTTCACCTTTTAAGAAATCACTAGTGGTTTCTAAAGATGTCTTTCACTAGGGTTAAAACAACATCTAGTAAGTGTAGTGTTTTTCAGCTTGAATTGCAAAAGTCTTCTTTTGAAAACCATTCATTACTGCATTATTGTTGCTACTTGGTGCTTGTTAGGTCATTGAAGCCCATAGGACATTGAAAACGTACTGGACACTCACAGGTCAAGAAGTGCTATGAGCCAACCTGATAGCATCTCCAGCCTTGCTTTCTCTTGCTTTGATATTACTTTAGTTTGACATGTTATTCTGGCTTTACTGTCCCAAGGAAGGCTGTGCTGGTAAGCATTAGAGTAGGCTTCAGTGAGCCAGCATTCATGTCACCCAACCAGATACAACTCACATGATTCATTAAATCAGAACACAGAAAATAACTTTACTTGAATGCCTTGATATAAATTTTTTATCAACCATAAGAACAAATCTTTTATTATTTCTACTATTCAATGTTCCAGTCGAATTGGTTATTTGTGAAACAGATCTTACTAATATTTTAGAAAGTTCATTCCATTTTATGAAATTTGTAAATATTTTGGTCACTGGCAAAAAAAAAAAAATCAGTATCTCTGCTCACCCACCATATCCTATGCCTGCTAATAAACCCTCATAGATAACTGTTTAACTGTACTTCTGCAATTCATTATGCTAAAGAGGAAGTAACTTTTTTGGTTGACAAGTCAGAAGCCCAGGCCCAGCAGTAATCTCAGAATCTTGCTTTCTAAGCCAGTAACTGGAAGTATTATCTTAATGAGCAGCTGCTTACGGATGACACATTCTAGGTCCTACTTTTTTTTGTATCAGACTTGCCACATCTTCTCCAAAATGTATAGCAAGGAACAAAAAATTGTGGAAATGAAATAATAAAGTCTACATAAAATTTCATATGATTTTTCCATAAAAAAAATAAACCTCTAGTGTTTGATTTTAATAGAGATACCCATGTGACACAAAATACCGAAAACTTTGCTAGTCCTTTTATGCGCTATTTGACTTTTCTCACTTTGAATATAGTGTACAAACCTCTTAAGGGTCAGCGACCCATAAAAATAGTAACTTAATTCAAGAAACAGACTGCTTACATCTTAGGTGTATTACATGCTTCACATCGTGCTATCAGTCTTTAGTTTGTAGCAGTAAACACTGTATTTCCTTTTGTCATTCACCTTGAATCCTTTCATTACTCCCTAACACCTACAGCTAGATCTACCCATCTTTCTCCTAGTCCTTGGTCCTTTTGATCTCTGGACAATCAAAATCCTTTCCAGTTAGGGCCCTTTTGGCTTTTTAAAAAATCCTCAGTCACTGTAGACACCAAGTCAGCTAGTAGTACTTCCTTGGTTTTTGCCTTTCAAATCTTCTTTTCTCATAATTCTAACTTTTGCCAGAGGCCCTCATAAGATGTCACTCATCCTTCCATTCTGCATTTGCACATTCTGTATATTCACTAGCTGAATCTCCTTATTCTCTGGTCATCGGCTTCTAAGACTTCTGTCTCCTGCCCCCATATTTTATTTCTTATTTCCTCTTTTCTCAGAAAGTCCCCTTTGGCTTTTCATATTTCTGCCCACTCCCCACCGCTCCCCCCGGCTCCCAGCCCAGGGAATCTGTGACTCAACTGAGAGCCCCTTTCATTCTCAGCCTTATCCTTCTATCACCCTTTTAGAGTAAATATTACTACATGAGATGTGGATAAAATTAAAATATATTGATGATGTTAAAACTAATCCCATTGACTTCTGTAAAGTATAATTATACTTTATATTTGCACTCTTCTTTCCTCCCACTTACAGTTCACTATTACTTTTTATAAAAGGCACTTTGTCATAGGAGAGAGAAAAAGCAGGCATGAAGGCCAGCATTGGATAAAGAACCTTAAACGTAGTGAAAAATATGGAGATTTTACACACCCAAAGAGACATGAACAAATAAAGAAAAAAGAGTAACACACTCATATATTTGTAGAGCAGTAAAGTAACCCAACCATTCAGCCTTTTAATTTATTGCCTTTAAGACTGAACATAAGCATACATGGGATTATCTTTTTTCCCCTCACATAATTATGACTCAGAAAATCTTTGCATCTGTTCTCAAATTTCTAGTGGAATGTTTTTAGTCATTACTTGTAGAAATTTCTGAAATTTATGTTAAAAAATGAACTTCTTGAAAGTATAGCTAGGAAAAAGATTCTGAATAGTAGTTCTAGTCACTGAAGATGTATAATAAGGTAATGTGTTCAGTATTAGTATAGCAATGGTACTATTTGTATATGAATATTGCAAAGTTTGTTATTACTAGCATTTGTTTAATGCATGAAAGCTGTTTTCAAAATTCCTCATGAAAACAAAAGGACACAAAAGGACACATATGTATATATAAAATTTTCTTGGTATGTTGCTATACTGGTTCAAGTATAACTCTTGTTGGAGAAAAAAAAAAAATCAACATTTTGAGCAAAACATGATAGTCCAGAAGAAAGAAAGAAAGCTAGGTCTTGAATTTTCACATCTATATTCATAAAATTAGTAAATAAGATGTTTCTGTAGTAAATCATTTTTTCCTGGTAACTTCCCTTGTACTTTCATAGATGTAGTAACATTAAAATTTGAACTATAACATGTAATTTCATTGTATACTGATGAGAATGTTATACCCTTATAATCTCAGAAAGAAATTGATCAAATCAAATTGGTACGCCTGATCTTCACAAACTCAGTGAAATGCATCTATATATAAAAATACATCATGAACCATTTCCACCTCATTTAGATTTCTAACTACTTCCAGAAGATTTGAATGGCCACTGTGACTGCAACATTTTTAACATTTATACTATGTATTCAAACCCTAAATAGTTACCAAGAGCACAGAGAAAAACCTATTGAAAGCAGAGCTTATGCAGTATACATTTATTTAACAGTGAAGGAATTGATGTCCTTTTAGTTCACTCATTTTTTTTTTAATAAAAGTTATAATTGACAAAGGTTCTCAAGAACTCTTTACATATAGAACATCTATAATAGTGAAAAATGACACAGTTTTTTTAAATAATTGATTAGAAATGCAATAAACTAACCTAGTAATTGATGTTAATGCTTAAACACTTGGTTATAGTAATTTTATATCTTAGTTGAACTTTATCAGACTTTATTTTTACATACTGTATGTTGAAATAATACAAAGCTGAATCTGATTTTCCCACATAAATAATTAACTAATAAGATATTAGGCTCTTTCCACAGTCTTAATGCATGATTTTTCATAAAAATGTATATAATTATATATAGAAAGTCTGCTAAAAATAGTACCTATGTATTCTATTGTGTAATAGTTAATGTATTTATATATTTTGACATGTTTATATACCAAATTAGAAAGCATAATAATTAGTTACAATCAAGGGTATTTTATGATGCTTCCTCATTATATATCATACATTTGTCTTTATATTATAATTTTCATTATACCCTTAATATAGGAGAACAGAAACCAAAGAATCACTTGTCTTCATAGTCACTGTATTCAGAATAGTTTCTCTGAAAAGACTTTGACTGGTATTTTGAGATTTTATAGCCATTATAGCCATAGGACACCTTTCTCAGTTCTGTCTCTTTTCTTCTTTCCCTCTTCCTTTTGCCCTTAGTCTTTCCAGTCCTCCTTCACCTTTGTCATTATACTTGAACCTGTAACACGAGATAGAACTATGCAGATGTTGATCTAAAGCTGAGAAATCTAGGGAAAGGTCCAGACCAAAGGTATAGAGAAGTAGGTTAACTGAGTCTGACTTTCTTTATGTGCAGCCCACATACCAGCAATGGGAATCAATTTCTGCAAAGGCTTCTTATATTTAAAATGTAACCTTTTCACCCAAGCTTAATATGGAACCTTTGTAAATAGGCCACTACTTTGTGTTACGATGATCTGTGTATGGTTAATTGGAGATAGGAGTTAAATATCTCTTAGTGGGTAGCGAGAGAGAGATTCTGTGAGAATGATTTGGTGATCTAATGAAGGAGATGAATACTTACTTACTTTGTATTACTTAGAACAGAGGGTAGAGAGTGGCTGTGGTATTCTAACATAGATACATGCTGTTCCTAGTTTTATGCCCTTGATGTTGTCTAACGGAAAGCTTTCAAGATGATCTCCAAAAATGTCTGCTTTCATTTTATTTATCTGAACTGTCTGTTTCCAGTGAACTGTGGCCCACTTCCTAGGCAGAGACCATGCAATAGTTTATTCCCCCTAAAAGCTTTGAGTATTCCCGTCATCCAGGGAGTAGCATGTAAGTCCTGGGAAATGGTATTTATACAAGCTCAACTTAACCATGATCACTAAACAAAAGCCTTCTCTGGACATGGGCAGCCACTTTCAGTAACCATCATACAGATAGACACTTGAGAGAGTCACTTCCCTA